ACAGAATAGTGATACCACCTTCATTGAGAACAGACGTGCTGACAGCGCTACACTCAGCCCAGCAAGGCACTTCATCCATGATGTCAAGAGCAGAAACATCTTTTGGCCCAGCATATGCAACGACATCACCAAGCTTAGAAACTCATGCAACCATTGCAACAGAAATGCCCTATCCCAACCCAGCACCCCGCCAACTCCACCTGTCTACCCCTTATATCCATTTCAGTGTGTTTGTGCTGACTTTTTCCACTACAAAGGCGGTAATTACCTGGTGATTGTAGACAGATACTCAAATTGGCCAATTGTTGAAAGGGCACAAGATGGCGCATCTGGCCTTGTTGATTGCTTACGACGCACATTCGTCACATTTGGAATACCAGATGAACTGTCTTCTGATGGCGGCCCGGAATTTACAGCTTCAACAACCAGAGATTTCCTAAAAACATGGGGCGTGCACCACAGGCTTTCTTCTGTAGCCTTTCCTCATAGCAATTGTAGAGCAGAAGTTGGCGTGAAGACTGTGAAGCGCATAATCACAAACAACACTGGTCCAAATGGTGAATTGGACAGACTCCTTCCAGCGTGCAGTGCTGCAATACCGTAACACTCCAGACAGGGATACGAAATTATCGCCAGCATTGCATGTTTTTGGGCGGGCCATTCGAGACTTCATCCCAATCTTACCTGGCCGCTATAAGCCACACGAGACATGGAGTGATACGCCTACCCTGAGAGAAGAGGCTTTACGTATCAGACACATGAAGACCGCCGAACGCTTAGCTGAACATACGAAGCGTCTGCTGCCACTAAAAGTTGGAGACCTCGTCAGGATTCAAAACCAAACTGGGCCATATCCGAGAAAATGGGATAAAACCGGAACTGTTATAGAGGTTCACCAATATGACCAATACGTCGTACGTATCGACGGGTCGGGCAGAATCACGCTTCGCAATCGAAAGTTTCTGCGCAAGTATACACCTGTGTATTCTCCCCCTGAAAAGCAATCCATAGAGCAGGACTTGAAACATTACTTCAAAAGGGACATTCCAAACTTTACACCACCGACGAGCGGAACTCCAGTGGTCCCGGCAAATCCTTTGAAGCCCAGTCTGGACATCAATCCAAAAGGGATCAGTAAGCGTGCACCAGCTTCACAAGATCTGAGTAACAGTCCACCTCCTGTGCAGGATAGGACGTCTCATACAGTCCAATCTAAGCCGCAAACACCCTTGGCATTGGACGGATCCCCACAAATGGTTAATTCGTCTCCCTCTCCAGCATCGCCCAGGCTACCCCCGTCACCACATCCTCCAACTACCTCACCTGCAACACCAGTCACACCCAGGAGGATCGTGACAAACAGACCAGAGCAACTATCCGTTGACCTTACCCCAAGACGTCCTAATCGACAACGACAAGAGCCAAAATGGCTTAGTGATTATGAGCATTAAATGGGGCAGAATAATCCCCGAACTGGAGGGTAGTCTGCCCAATGACAGTTCTACTTTTCTACTTTTTTAATTAATGTACAAATAATACCTTATCATTTTAATATCACTTTCTTTGTATGTTACATTTACTGTTAATTGATACATAATTTGATCTCACAATGTAATAACAGTGTTAAGGCATATCACATTTTTAGTGACAATGAACAGTAATAGACTTATTCCATCCATATTTCCCACAAGGACAAAAACATTAAATCAGTCATTTAAAATACTTATAAATGACTCGGGGAGGGATAGAGGATTATGTATTTACTTGTTAGTCTATTACTTATGTCTTACCAACAGATAGTTGATTTTATTTACAATGTTACTTTTTGTATGTATCAGACCTCCATCATTTTGGATAATAAAGTTATCTGAAAATAGTATCTACTTTCTTCTACAAAGACACTCTGGAAAAAGATGGCCAGAATGTTTGCTTTCTCTTTATCATCATTGATCTTTTCTTGACCTTTGTCATTTTGGTTCTTGTAGAGATCTCCAATTCCTGTTTTTAGTTTGGATTTTGATTTCATTTGTCTCCAAATAGCTTCCGGATTAACTTGGCTGAAAGATCATTTTCAAGTATTTCCCTCATTTTTCATGTTTCTCTCTCCACTTGATTTCTTATACGCCTGTAATCCTTTCGTATTTTGGGGTCTCTCGTTTGCATTGTATTTTTCAATCCCAGTGTGTTTCTGTCCACGTGATATACACCAACTAAATATCTGCTATTGATCACATTCTTAGTAGTAATATATTGGTCTTCTATCTTCTTTATGATTACATGAAAAACTTCTATTATTTTTTTGACTGAATTTGTTATGATTTTCTACTCCCATCCCGTATTTCTGAATTCATTACTTCAGTGTTTGTTTTATTGTATAATTTCACAGTTTTTCTTTGTTAACTCTGGTGTTACAGGTCACTGTTGTTGTATGAAACTGTTTATTATTTTGTATGCTGATGACACTGTGTTGATGGCTTAATCGAAAACCGGTCTACAAAATGTTCTTAACTGCTTTATAAATTATTGTGAAAGATGGAAACTGATCATTAACGTAAAAATAAACCAAAATCATTATTTTTGGAATGGCGGTTAGTAGTTTAGACAAAGGCTTGGTTGAGCAGTTAGACGAGTCAGTTATAAAGAATGGCGGTTAGTAGTTTAGACAAAGGCTTGGTTGGGCAGTTAGACGAGTCAGTTATAAAGTGTTTTTATATGGATTCTTGTAAAGTTAAGGGATCCAGTATAAACTGGGGAGGTCCGTATCCTTATCATTAACAGGCAATCTAAATGATTGTAATACCGAAGCATGGTTAGCTAGTATTTTGTCTTTTGAAAGATTGTATAATGTATTTGTGGGTTTTTTTTTTATTGTTATCAAGCAAGCCTAGTTCTTTTTGTATACAGGAATTGTAATATTGTTTTCAGACAAGGATCAAGTTATTGGATGCCTTATCTGCAGGCACAATTACATACCATGTAAACCTTGAAGTGTAAAATTAGCATCAGGATCGAGAAAAGCTGACCTGTGTTTTGTTTTCATTTTCGATTCAAGCTACAAATTATTTTACGAACGATTGACCGAATAGACTTCATCCACTCAGAAAATGAATCCAACGCAGCGTGTTCTTGTTTCGCCCATTCTCTGGCGTAGTTTTCAACAGAATCCAATAATTCATATTCCAATTAACGGACTGGGTTTCATGATATTTAGGACCATTCATGAACAGCTCTCGTAGATAAACATTTTGAATATTGCTTAAATCACCGGTTACTATGTGCCCAGTTGGACCATAGTTAAAAGTAAAGGTAGAATAAGAGTAAGCTGACAGAGGACTAGTTCTAAGGTCATCTACATCCAGTTGCTGCAGCATTTGTGGTTTGTAGTTGAAAAGTTTGGAGGCATAGTGCTTGGAGTAACAGTAGGAATTTACAGGGATGTTTCTACTCTGAAAGTATGTTGGAATATTAGATTGAACATATTTAAGGTGTGAAATATTGCTGATGTTTTATAACATCAACTCCCTTATTTACAAACTTAACTTTCATAAATTGGTGAGTTGTTGGGGGATCGCGGCCATCTGTACAGACAGGTTTAAAGAGCCTGATTTGTGCCACATCATCAATAATTTTATGAAGTCTCCAAACTAGTTTCCACGAGTCACCAGAAACAGTATTAGACGAGTCACTTGAAGCTTTCGTCGCACGGAGAGAGGAATTGAATATAACGTAGTTCGTACATGATGGACACCTAATGGTTTCTGTAAAGGTTCATTAGATTTTAAAACATGACAGCATATCTGCTATATTTATTATAATGCCTATTGAAAATTAAGAACATGGATTGATGTTCCTAAAACCAAGCCAATGGATTATAAAATAATTGACTGCTATTCATAAATGTAAGTCATCAATCTTGCTACAGTAATAATGAATTGTTGTGTTCAAATATATTTTCAAATTCTAGATCTTCTCAAGGTTTTATTTGTTTTAACCGAATCCACGGGTGTCTTTATCATACGCCCCTGACCAAATCAGTTGATGGATTCGTACATTGTATATTGACTGTAGCAATGTGTGAAATCGTATAGGAGTGAGACGACCACAAATAAGCCCATGGAATAGGTGGCTATAGACTTGTAAATTCGCATTATGCTAGTTTCATGTTATGTTAATATCAGTAAAATTATTGTAGACATATGCATGTTTTCTATGACAGTAAATTATTTTCAACACATAAATGTATATTGGGAGAAGGTGTAGATTAGGTTAATAACGTATGCCTCATTTAGTCTTAGTTTGACCATAAGTAATTTTAAATCAATAAATCACTTTTTTGAGCAATTTCAAGTTGATAATTTACTGTATAGCAATAACATACTTATAAGTATTATTAAACACAAAAACATACGTCCGATACAGTGTCACGTAGTCGCAAAATGTACTGATCGCCCTTACCAGCTAGCTCTCAGTCTTGTAATGCAGACGATGTTTAACGGAAACGTGCGAAAGCTACCGAACGTCAATCACCAATCAGGCAATGTTTTACAACCGGTGTTTGGCAAGGGTAAACAGAACTCTTCGGTGGGCGATGCCACTTGTGCTTGTTTCCGGAATGCGGATGAAAGTTTCCTGAGCGACTAAACAGTTAATTGGCGGCAGTTTCATCAACAATTCTGTGTGTATAAACTGGGGCGCCTTCACAATGAAGTCGCTTCGAGTAGTAAGGGGTAAAATTAAGTGTTCTGTACATAACAATGACAACAGGTTTTAAGTCCTCTCTGACCATGGTTATAGAGGAAAGCTTCCGTAAACTTTGAAAACTTCCTTTTACTGATCTTTGTCAACAAAGTTAAGAACATGATTTCATCAGCAGTTAAATGTAGCTGTTTAGTCCCTGTTGTCAACTTCAGATTGACTTTAACAACATTGTAGACTAAAGAATACCGTTTGTTAATTTGTAGCTCAAGCTCTTTTCCAAGTTACTGATTAAGTAAATAAAAATGGGGGATCATTCCGACCATGATGGGTCGGATGAGGAAGATTACATTGGTTTCGGGTTTGCCACAAGGAAACTTGAGGCGCTGTATGACTATACATATTTAGATGACAGTGGCAATAGAGTGAATATGAAAAGAGGAGAGGAATATCATTTGTTGGAGAAGTCAGGGGATTGGTGGGAAGTGTTTAGAGCTGGAGACTCCACAGATCTTTCATTTTATGTTCCAGCAAATTATGTTAAACCTATAGTTGATAGTGAAAGTAAGGTTACAGACAAACATACAAGTGATTCAGATGTTAAAGGAGATCCAGGAAGTGAAACCAGTTCACTTGGTCATGACGCTCATACATCTCCATCTTTTAAAAATGGCATGAGTAAGGCAGTCAGTGTCGAAAGAAAACAAAATCCAGATAAAGAGATGGATATCTATGCAAATACTAATGTTAGTACTTTTATGACAAACAACAATGTGGATGTTTCATCTAAAAATGGAAGTATAACGGTGCGGCCTGGCATGTATCGAAGGAGTTTATCCAATGATGATGGAGGTGATTATATGAACTTAGATTTATTACGTGAACAAGCAGGTCTACCTTCAGTGTCCAAACCACCTCTTACGGAAGTAAGTATTCATTAATGTGTGTCATGGGTTCTAGAGTGATAGTAAATTTTCATGATGCTATGACCAATAGGTATGGTCCAAATTAAATATAGACAGAGTTTAGTCTCATGATGTACATATATACTTAGTATGGAGTCTGTGTACAGAACTGTTTCACATGCTTGTCTCGTAAAAATTGTCTTTGAAATTTGATAAACCAAAGGACAAAACATGAAATTTCACATTTTTAGCATTTGTTTCACAAAATAGGGTACATATGACAATAGATATAATTGGAGTACATGTATACTTGGAAGTCCACAACACATATGTGTAAGTGTATATATTTACGACATACAATGGGATCTCAAGATGGTACTAAATATATCATTTTCAGTGAGAGCAACTCAGTTTCTAAATCAAGATCAATATATTTTTAAAATCTGTTCATTATTATATGTTACTAACTAATTAGTAAGATCATGCTTTTATAAGAACATGTACATAAATTTAGAATCATGTACATATTATACATAAACAAGTAAGTGCATGTTCTTTGTGCCTTAGCGAGAGCGATTCGAGGAAATATTTAGAGAACAAAGGAAGGTGAAAGTACTTTCTGCTTTTCATTGTTTATACATGTATTGAACAGTACATTTGCTTACATCAATTTAAATGTAGTATTGTTTAAACGGACAATTTTCATTTATTTGATTAATTGATGACTGACTTATAAAATACTTCCATGTCATTATTATTGTGCACATGCTGTAATGCGATGGTTTAACCAGGATACTAGCCGCAATAAATAGCTTGATGAGAAAGATTTTTTCTATAGTGATCGGTTGAGTGCTGGACTGTTAATTAAGTAAACCAGAGGTCCTGACTTCGAATCCTAGTGAAGGCAATTAAATAGATAATGACCTCGGATACAATTATGCCCATTAAGGAACTTGGGAATAATACTTAACCATGCCCCATAAGTATCACAGTAACCACTGGAAATTGAAGAAAGAGTTCCTTGCTGGATAGGGACTTGGTACTGAACATTACATACTCTAGCCACAGTAAACCGCTCAGCAAGAGAAACTGCTCTTTAGCTAAATCAGTTGAGGGTTAGACTATTAATCAGAGGTCACAGACTCAAATCCAAAGACTTTGGAATAAAAATGACCAAAATGGTAAAGGTAATATTGTCAGAGACAGCTGGCCATTTTTCATTTTCCATGATGTAGCTTGGTTTTTATAATACATTTGTATAGCTTTTTATAGTTCTAGGTCTACCATATGGCTAGTACTGAATGAAGATTTAAGACACACTCTGTGGGTTTTAAGGAAATATTATTGAATGGATATTTTGATGAAGCTTTAATTTAAAGAATGATGGTATAAAACACTGCAAGATAACTCCAACATTGAAATAACCCAATGGTAACACCAAGAAATATCCATGATCTATAGTTTAATCAAGTGTTGATGACTACATTTTATGGCACTTTCACAAAAATAAAAAGTTATTTTTTCTATGAATACCAGTATTTTCAGAAGGTTGCAATATATTCATGTTAGCTGCCTTGTGATAGAGAAGATCTGAAGCTGAATTATAGTGTTACTAAACTGAAGTATATAGTGCCAAGGCCTCTAGCAGGACACCCCACCTAGTCATAATATACTGGCGACAGGCAACACAGTCCTTATAATACCATAATGCTGAGCATTAAGCATGGAGACCAAATTTCATTTTGAAAGACTCTGGCATGTCTGGCCTGGGAGAAGTAAACCCATTTTAAAAGACTCAGATACAATGTAAATGTTGGCCAGGGGACAGAACTGAAAGCAATCGTCACAAGTGTGAATACTTAAGTAAAAACCAAAACAGATGAGATTGGCATGGTATGGTACGTTTACTCCAGAATGATACCTTCCTACACAAACTACTGCATTGCTGTTCATCACAGATATATTGAGGCATCTGTCTGCAGTTCATATAAAGGTTGAATTCACAGTGTCTGGTGAAATGTATTCAGATAACTTCAAACAATACATCAAAGTATGTCATAGTGCTTTCATTTCTAAATCTTCATGGTGCTTAATAAATTGCCTAGATATATTATCTTCAACGCCATAACAAGAGTGATCATGTGACAGCATAATTGTATGGGAGATCTCCATTTAGTCTATACCATACTGTTAAGTTTAGGTTTACAAGTTCTAGCAAAATACATCTTTTTTTCTCTTCATTCAGTTGGATTCTTTGAATCAAGTTTGTAAAACAGGAAGATTTAGATGTCTTGTTTATGCAAATGTCTAAATGTTCACTGACCACAGACCCCGTTTTTAGATATATTATAGTTCAGTGAAAATGCTAACAAATTAAATACATTTATTGCATATACTGTTTATTTTGCTCTGCAATAAAACCCACCTACTTTCTGAGTCAATATTTTTGTGTTGGGCCCTCTGTGTGTTTATTACAGGATACATATGTTAGTACTTGTCTACATATTTCATAACTACTTGGTACATTTATATCTTCCTTAAACTGTCCCTAGAAATCTTTTCATCATAAAGTACCTTACAGAAGTCTGTGGTATATTTGAAAACTGAAATTATTTACTTGGATTTACCAGGATTTACACGGTGGGCATCGTAAATGAAGCAGATGATGCTTACTCTTCTGGGATACCTGGTCTCATTCTTCTTCTGCTTTAGGAGTCTCTGTGGAATTCTTCCTTTTCTTGGTATTTGCCCTAGTTTATTGAATTTGAATTTGGATTATGTTTCTGTTGACTTGTTAGTATGTTTTAGTTTTTGTAACTATATAGACAGGTGTTGGCTCTTAGATCTTAAAAATTTAACGAAATATCTGCCCAGTAATAACCTCAGGAAGTAACATCCTCTATTGCCTTGACTATGATTTAAAGTTAATTAGGGATGGACTTACAACATGACAATGAACAGTACTTCTTTTATTTGTAATACAACTCATTAGTAATCAATATGGACAGACTATTACCAGATATGGGAACCAGATATTAACTGACATCAGATATAAGAGTACTAGAAGCTTTGAATATGGTTAAAACATGCTGTTGCATAGAAGGTTTTGCTCTTGAAATGATGTCCAACAAAGTAATTACAAACAATTCATATTATACAATATGTGACCATGTTATAGAGGTGCTGTTATACAATAAACTAACACTGTAGATTATGTAATATTTACAGTAAGTCATTGTAGTGGGCAAGGAATGTGTATTCTAGAGTGGTGACAGTAAAGTAGGTCATCCCATCATATCTCTACAAGGTGCTTTCACAGTGTCTGACATTGATGTATGGTCATTCATTTGTGAATGAATCTATTTGAATGCTGATCAATTCGTTACTGAACTACTTACATCATTTGTTATTTAAAATGTGAAATTTGAGGCATAAGAAAGGGCTCATTAATATGGGATATGGATATTAGCTTGTATATAAATATAAGGAGGTTATTAGTATAGAGTCTAATACAAGTTTATATAGGACTAATTAATACAGGGTCTGAGGACAGTTTATATAGGACTTATTAGTACAGGGTCTGAGGACAGTTTATATAGGACTAATTAGTACAGGGTCTGAGGACATTTTATATAGGTCTCATTAGTACAGGGTCTGAGGACAGTTTATATAGGACTTATTAGTACAGGGTCTGAGGACAGTATATATAGGACTCATTAGTACAGGGTCTGAGGACATTTTATATAGGTCTCATTAGTACAGGGTCTGAGGACAGTTTATATAGGTCTCATTAGTACAGGGTCTGAGGACAGTATATATAGGACTCATTAGTACAGGGTCTGAGGACAGTATATATAGGACTAATTAGTACAGGGTCTGAGGACATTTTATATAGGACTCATTAGTACAGGGTCTGAGGACAGTATATATAGGACTCATTAGTACAGGGTCTGAGGACAGTATATATAGGACTAATTAATACAGGGTCTGAGGACAGTTTATATAGGTCTCATTAGTACAGGGTCTGAGGACAGTATATATAGGACTCATTAGTACAGGGTCTGAGGACAGTTTATATAGGTCTCATTAGTACAGGGTCTGAGGACAGTTTATATAGGTCTTATTAGTACAGGGTCTGAGGACAGTTTATATAGGTCTCATTAGTACAGGGTCTGAGGACATTTTATATAGGTCTCATTAGTACAGGGTCTGAGGACAGTATATATAGGACTTAATAGTACAGGGTCTGAGGACATTTTATATAGGACTTATTAGTACAGGGTCTGAGGACAGTTTATATAGGTCTCATTAGTACAGGGTCTAAGGACAGTTAATATAGGTCTCATTAGTACAGGGTCTAAGGACAGTTTATATAGGTCTCATTAATACAGGGTCTGAGGGCAGTTTATATAGGTCTCATTAGTACAGGGTCTGAGGACAGTATATATAGGACTAATTAGTACAGGGTCTGAGGACAGTTTATATAGGTCTCATTAGTACAGGGTCTGAGGACAGTATATATAGGTCTCATTAGTACAGGGTCTAAGGACAGTTTATATAGGATTCAGTAATACAGGGTCTGAGGACAGTATATATAGGTCTCATTAGTACAGGGTCTGAGGACAGTATATATAGGACTCATTAGTACAGGGTCTGAGGACAGTATATATAGGACTCATTAGTACAGGGTCTGAGGACAGTTTATATAGGTCTCATTAGTACAGGGTCTGAGGACAGTTTATATAGGTCTCATTAGTACAGGGTCTGAGGACAGTTTATATAGGTCTCATTAGTACAGGGTCTGAGGACAGTTTATATAGGTCTCATTAGTACAGGGTCTGAGGACAGTTTTTATAGGACTCAGTACTACAGGATTTGTGGACAGTTAATGACAGTCTTCATAATTGCCTTGTATGTACAGAGCCTAAGAATATTTATTAGGTATCCATGATAAAGGTTGTGTATAATGTTTTCATAGGCTAGTTAATTTAGAACCAGAGGATATTTATAAGTTATGATTGACAAGAGCTCATGAGTGTTATACATGTTGTAACTATTGATGTACATTAAATTGTTGGGTGTGACTTTTATGTGATGTCATTCGTGTGTACATAAAGCTACAATGTATCACAGCTGAAGTTATGTCAAATAATTAATACAGACTTCTAACGTTTAATGACAATTTTGTTTTTTCAATTAGTTTACACATTTTTTACTTACCTGGTCAGAAGGATTTGTGAGCTGATGCCACAGCATCAATAAATTTTTCTACAAATAGTTACTTTTCATGGACAACTGAATGGCCACAATCATCCTTAAGTATCAGAGAATCTATTTTGTATAAATGGTGGATCTTGACCCGATAGGGCAGAAGGGGTGGGGTCCTATAGGCTTAATGTGTAATATCTTTAAAATCCATTTACTATAAGAAGGCTTGGATGCTGTCCCAGTTTGGTTTGAAGCATTATTTGGTGAAGGAAATCAATTTCATATAAACAGTGGGTGTTGGACCTCATGTGCTGGGGCATGGAGCCCAATACAGCAAACAGAGGAAATTTTCCTTCTCTTTTCGGAGGGATGGTTAAATTTTTGTCAAAATTTGATCTAAGGCACCCTTGAGTGAAGAAAACTCAGTTTTGTATAGATGATGCCCCCAACATTCCATCCAACTCCCAGCCAGTAGACTCAGTGCCATATGCACATAAAGATCCAAGTTGGGTAATCCAGTGCAGTACCTGTTTTTGTATCTCAGAAAGCTGGGAAATGGACCAGTTTGTACTGTGTTTGCTACGTTTTTGAGCAAGTCAATTTTCCCTCTTGTTGTTAAGTTTAATGTGCGACTAGCCTCCTTTATGGTGTTCAGTAATATAGCCACCAGCTACTATAATAAACATGCTAACACTTCCTAGTGTAGTTATTAAGGGTGTACAATGTAGGTGTACTGAGTAGGAGTAATTGGTAATGTCTTAGAGCAATTCTTAAATGTGTGAGTAACATCTTTTTGTTGTTAAAAATTTTCATGTCAAAATTATGGCAACGCCCAGCTTTTGTACTAATTGTGTCCGCATGACTGCCTTTCAATTTAAGTATTTATGTTCTATACAGACAGCTAGACATGTAAAGCTTAATTCACAAAGCCCTTCAACACTTTAGTATGAAGTTACTTACATATGTTGTAGATATCAGTTCATAAATAAGTTTTCATACAATATTATAGGAGTATGATAGGTATGTAAGTCAATCCAGACCTATATAGGTTATTGGTAGGTAGAAGTCATTCCAGACCTATATAGGTTATTGGTAGGCAGAAGTCATTCCAGACCTATATAGGTTATTGGTAGGCAGAAGTCAATCCAGACCTATATAGGTTATTGGTAGGCAGAAGTCATTCCAGACCTATATAGGTTATTGGTAGGCAGAAGTCATTCCAGACCTATATAGGTTATTGGTAGGCTATATAGGTTATTGGTAGGTAGAAGTCATTCCAGACCTATATAGGTTATTGGTAGGTAGAAGTCATTCCAGACCTATATAGGTTATTGGTAGGTAGAAGTCATTCCAGACCTATATAGGTTATTGGTAGGCAGAAGTCAATCCAGACCTATATAGGTTATTGGTAGGTAGAAGTCATTCTAGACCTATATAGGTTATTGGTAGGTAGAAGTCATTCCAGACCTATATAGGTTATTGGTAGGCAGAAGTCAATCCAGACCTATATAGGTTATTGGTAGGTAGAAGTCATTCCAGACCTATATAGGTTATTGGTAGGTAGAAGTCATTCCAGACCTATATAGGTTATTGGTAGGTAGAAGTCATTCCAGACCTATATAGGTTATTGGTAGGTAGAAGTCATTCCAGACCTATATAGGTTATTGGTAGGTAGAAGTCATTCCAGACCTATATAGGTTATTGGTAGGTAGAAGTCAATCCAGACCTATATAGGTTATATGTTGTGAAGTTGGTTTTTTGGATGGATAAAAATTGCTTTTAATTTCATTTTGTTTTCATTTGTTTATCAAACCTTCAGTAATAAAGAACCTGTAGATACATATTATATCTATATACCCCAACATTTTGTGGTAAACTTTATCATGTAGTCTTTTGATTTTCACATATTTTTAACAATTCAAATAGAAGGTGTACGCATCAGACATTATGAATTGTCTGTGTAATACTAGTAGCATATATGAATTGAAATTTACCTGTTTATAAATGTATATCTGTAAAAGTATGATATCTTCAGTGTGGTCACGCTTGCTGGTTAGTTATACAAAAGGCATACATTCTTGTCTACAGGTGTAGCATGGTGAAATGAATCGTGGTTCACTTTAACATGCGCTTCACTTTATCATACTACACCAGTATTCGGGGTCACTCATAACTGAATTAGATATCTGTACTATAGACTTGTACAAGTCCCTTATCCAATGTAACAAGTACAGGCAGACTTGTCCAACATAATATGTACTATCGGACTTGTACAGCCCTTAAACAAATGTGACTATCACAAAAAAAACTTGTACAAATCAATTTTCAAGTGTGTGTAAACTTGTAAAAGTTCATTATCTAAAATAACAATCCATCTTGTTTTTCTGTCTATAAAAAAACTGTGGTGAAGGTTTCTAGTTACAAACTATTTATTTATGTAATTTAACCCAGCGAGAACTTTTGTTTCAATGTCCTGATGTTGTTTTTCCAGGTTGATCCAATTTATGCCAACCAGAAGGACCTAAACATCGAACCACAGATAACTGTGACGACCTCTCCATCACCCCCAGTCTCACCCGAGGAGCCCACTATACCTGATGAGAAAAATTGTCCTTTCCAGAGGACATTACTCAATGTCTGGGATGCCTACCTTGACCCCATCACAAAGCGTAATTTTTACATCAACAAGGAAACCAAAGAGAGGACATGGAAACCCCCACGATATCCAAAAAAGGTAAGTTGGTACACAATCAATGAAGTAATAATGACAGTATGGACATGAAAATTATCAAATTTTAGAGGCAATAGAAAAATAAAAAAAAGATCTAGGGCGCTGATATAAGTGTTCCTGTCATACACAGCAATGATTGTTGTTGTATTATGTAACAAAGTCTATATAGCTTAACTGAAATATCAGATATAAATTTGATAACATTAATTACATGGAAACATGTTTACAGTATACACACATTTAACTCCTTGTCGAAGTCACTCTACTTAACCTTGCAATCTACTTTAACCTCGGTACATAACTGACCATTTAACAAGAGATGGAGTAGGTGCTGATTTATCAGATAAGTGTTAATTGCAGTGCCATGTACTACTTTGCTCACAGCCAAACAGCTCTGTTATCCTTATAAGGATATTCAATGTGTTTATAAGGGTCTGTAGTGTTGAGAATTTTTGTGGAAAAGCAATCATCATTTTGTGAAAACACTTGTCTGTGGCCTTACACTGCTGTACTTTTAAATTACTATAAATTGTCATATCGCTTTCTACATACACACATTGATCATGTGTTATAAATAGGGTCACTTGAGTTATTGTACTGAAAATGATGTAAATACCGAAGGAAGTATAGTCCTAGGAAAAGGTCCAGTGAGATACCAGGAGGGTAAGCGGAATAGATTGCTACATAGCTCAGGGGTCTAAAGAGGAAATATCTCACTGGCTATAGATAGTAATTATTTGTGATAGGTCTCCTGCATGATGTTCATTGAAGGAGACACCAACTTTAACAATGAGTCTCTGCCTTAAAATGACCCTTGCTGGCTGTGCGATATAAAGTCAAACTTATACAATAGACCACAGAGTAAAGTTCTGAGTATAGAGCACAATTGTGATATAGGAAACCGAGCAATTAGATCTACTAAGAAGTATATGTAAACAATTGTATGAGGAAGTTTTTTTAAGAGAATCACTTTTTGATCTTAAAATTTTATAGACTAAAATATTGAAAATCTAACCATGTCTTGTTGGTGAAATCCTCACGACAAAGTTAAGGATTAAGGATGAAAGTAGAGTATATATATTCTTATTACTTATTTGTGTGGTGATGTCATAGCTACTAACAATGTTATATATATATATATGTATAACTCCCCTTATATTCTAACAATAACATTATATCACCATATATGTTACTATGTAACGTAATACAATCACCTAAAGATGGCCGCGAGGCCTGAAAACATTAGCGAATTTATTTGCCATGTCAAGTGTTTGATTTTCTATATGTATATACTAAAGATCTTACATGGGTGTTCATTTCATATTAAATCTTAAGATAAAAGTCTTAAGAATTTTTCAATCATGTTTTATTGTATTTGCAAGCCTTGGCAAGCAAATTTTTTGATTTTAACAGATTTTTATCACAAAAGTGAGAAAGTTACATTTTGACAGGATTTAATGACAAAATGTGGAGAACAAAATCAAATGAAGGCAGCAATTTTCAGTTTGTAACATCATTGTCCATGTTAGGATATCACAAAAGATTTCTGATCAGCACAATAAATAAAAAACACAACTTCACAAAAATATTACATTGGTGAATTAATTTACTGGATAACAGGTGGATTTTGTAAAACATATTTATATATATATTATAGAATTTAATTCATCACTTACCCCAGACTTCATTAGAAATAGATAAAAACCAACAAACCAGATATTGGAGTTTTATATATATATATGGTGTTATGATGGAAATATTATTATTGATGGACTCAGTTACCTGGTAATTGTTGGAAATCTTGTCCCCTGTTTGGACTCTTGTTGTACATGGTTTGGGTATAGACTTCTGACAACTTTAATAAGAATGTGATGCATGGGCGACACTATCTGTGTAATTTAGATATCAATGGTACGGCAAGAATGACAACTGTTACTTTGTTATAGTCTCGCAGTATGAGGGGCATTACCACATCAGAATACATTGGGGTAGGTACTGACTTTTTGCATGGAAATATATCATTTATCCCAGAAGTTGTATATCAAATGCTTGCTGCATGACTGTGTATTTTGAGATGTATTTGATATGTTTATATCAGCTTACCTGTCTGAGGGACAAGTGAGCTTGTGATACTGGGCAATCTGAGGTTAGACAGACTTTTACTTAAACATCATCTTCTTTAGACCCAGTAAGCTTAGATTTATCCCATAATTCATAAGAGGAATGTAGGATATTGAGTGTCATTAACTGCCTTGACCCGCTAGTTGATAGTCAAGTCACATATCCTTCCTTGCATGTACTTATAACAATGAGTTAGTAAAGGTGAGAAAAAGTAACTCATTGGGCTTCTTGTTTCTCTTTTTCACTTGACTTCGGAAGGAAGAAATGGGCCAAATGACTTACTGTTCAAGATAATAAAAAAAAAAAAAAATAAAATTGACTGTGGGCAATATTTTAATGTCACACTTGCTCAAATTTAAATACGGTCTAATGACAGCATACTATTAATGATGAGGTTTTGGCATGATATCGCATGCTGTTATGATACTTCGCAGTCATGCTTGGCTAATTGAATGGATCTTATTTCATTTTAAGATTACTTTGGTGAAATATAAAAAAAAAAAAATACACAAAACAGATAACATCATATAAATAAGTTATAGAGTAATGATAGCATACTTGTAGATTGTTGAATATGGGGACTATTTAATCTTGTTAAGTGAATTATCTTAAATACCAGCTTTCAATGTCAAGGTACGGTTGAACGATTACAAACGTATTAATTTGATAATTGTAATAATGTCTAACATGCACAACTGTTCATTGGATATTGTTTTCATTGTCACATTAGTAAAATGTTGGAAAACTTTTTCCAGAGGTCAGTAAGACATATGTACCATGTAGATTGTTCTACTAGCTTGTTCTAAAGAACTTTGAAAGTCACATTATTTAAAGGGAAAAAGCCCTTCCCAAAATGAGTAAAATCTTCCTGGCAGATCAATCTACGTGGGAGCTCAGAGTCATGTACTTGAAGAATTTTTGTTTTAAGCAAGGAAGTTGAAAAGGACGCATGAAAATGAATTATAAAATTGATCACTTGTTCCAAAACAATCATAAGACAGATCTTTATCACAACAGGATCCTTGGGGCTAAATTCTTTACCCAAATTTCTTTAGATATGCAGTGGACTTCATGCTTGTGGTTCAGTGATATACCATGTGTAGTCATCAGCTTCTAAGAGATTTTGGCACACAATGACCCTGGCTGTTCACTGGGTAAAAATTACCCAACAAGTAAACAAAATAATAACATTTTTAAGTGTCAGAAGATGGGCTAAACTTGATATCGGAAGATGAGCTAGACTTTTGATATCAGAAGATGGGCTAGACTTTTCATATATTGTTATAAAGTGCAATAGATGTGGGTGGGCTTATTGCCAGGCTTAATGTCAGACAAATATGGTGAGTGTATTTTACTTAGCATGTTTTACTCCTGGTGCATGGTTTTACTGATTGAAATGTCAAGGTTAAAGGTTATAGCAAGTTGTAATCTTCAAGATGTTCCATTTTCGCTTTTATCAAAGATGAATTTAAATTGTAAAAAAGCAGATATCTTGCAAATTTAATAATAGAAAAAAGGAGTCTGTTTTATTCTGATCACTTGCATGAAAAATATGTCCTTTGAGTTTTAAGCTTTAGGTAAAACCATAAACATTTGAACCTTTAAAAACAACAGTATATTGTGTATGAAAATTCCCTGTAATTTTTACTGTGACTCCCAATGCCTTCCTTTGTAATGATTATTTGTTGTAAGTAACTCTATTTTGTAATAAGATACAGAAGCAGGAAATGTCATGCATCATCTATAACATCTGTAGAACTGTCATTTGTTGTGTTACACAGGGAGGCGTTGTATCTAGCACTAATGATTTCCGAAAAATTGACTTAACAATTCTGTTTCTATATCCCCTGCCAACTTGGTTGATAATTACCAACTTCAGTTTGAGATAATCATGTTTTTTTTCTCCTATTTTTTATTTATTTTACAAACAACTTTTGTAATTCATACATCAAATGATTACTAATTGAAAGGACAACATCAGTCCAAAAAAAGGCAATGTGATGGTCAGTCATGATGAAGGATGAGTGTGATAAGGGAGATCTGATTTTGGTTAAGGTTCTTAGTCTGCCATCTTCTTATCTAGATATATATATTCAAATTGTCATAACTACATTTTTTTCTCCTTGACAGCAATTGCAGGAGAGAGTGGACCTGCCAAAATCACATCCTATGAGTGTGCGTGTGGAGACCACAAAACCAATTCCAGAAGGCTGGACTTTAGAAACCGTGGAGGGGATTAATTTTTACATCAACAAACGTACACAGGAAAAGGTAAGAGATGAAAAGGTGCTGTACATTTTCTAAAACTTAATAGAACAGTGTTGATGTTTACAAAAGGAGATCCACTGATATTTACATTGCCTAGAAAACTGATTGAACAGATCATAACTAACATAACTTATACTTATGAATCAGGTAATGGTTTGTAGTTATGAATCAAAATATTAAAACAAAGTTTGGTTGTTGGGTATTAATATGTAAACTTACCAGTCTACATGCAAGTATAAGGAAGGATTTGTTAACATAACCATGCAAGTATAATGAAGGATTTGTGAACACAACCATGTGAGTATAAGGAAGGATTTGTGAACACAACAAGACTACTGACATAAGTTATTACGTCCACAAAACTAGCCACCTTACAAGACTTTAACTGTTTTTCCATCAGAATGTATACAATGTAATTCATATGACAGGCCTGCTTACACTAACATGGTGAATGTTTTTTTATCAATGATGTTTATCAGTATATTAAGAATTCCTTATGAGTGTGAAGCACGAAGCACATCTTGATGATAATATGTACAATATTTATTTGGCAATTAGCCCATGCCTGGTAATAAGCCCAGCTATTGAAGTTTGAGTAGAATATCAACAAATGCTAGGCCGTTGCCATGATAAGTCATTACTTCCCCCCACCCAAACACCCCGAGATAATGTTTAGGCATAATCCTTAATACCCATAGAACTACACGTGTGAATGGGCTTGATGATATTTCAGAATATTCAACACAAGTTCTTTTGTAAAGAAATGAACATATTACTGAAAACTGTTACTACCTGTTTTAAGCTTCTTCATTCCCACCTAGAAATTTTGAACGTGATAGATTTCTCATGTAGATTTCTAAGGGTTTGAAGGCATGTAAAAATATCAAATATGTTAAAAAACAAGTCTTTATTTATGCAGCAGTGTAACAATTTGGACCACAATCTAAATTACGATTAATACATGTTCACTTACGCCACACTCAGCTGTCATAACCTGTATTAAGCTAAGTGGGTTGGGAATGATGGACTGAGGCAGTTTGTGATAAGGCTTGAAAATTTTAAATATTGCAACAAGTGTAGATGGGTTGGTGGTAAAGAAAAGGGAGTATTTTAGTCATAAAGACCACGAACACTAAATGGTACAGATGGCTTGAGGGTAAAGATAGGGGAGAGTTTGAGTTTATAAGTCCAGGAACACTAAATGGTACAGATGGCTTGAGGGTAAAGATAGGGGAGAGTTTGAGTTTATAAGTCCAGGAACACTAAATGGTACAGATGGTTTGAGGGTAAAGATAAGGGAGAGTTTGAGTTTATAAGTCCAGGAACACTAAATGGTACAGATGGTTTGAGGGTAAAGATAAGGGAGAGTTTGAGTTTATAAGTCCAGGAACACTAAATGGTACAGATGGGTTGAAGGGTACAGAAAGGAGTGCTATAGTTATGAGTTCAGGGGGCTTGTCAAGAAAAGGTTAGATGGGTGTAGGGTAAAGAAAGGGGATTGGTAATCTAGAGTCCAAAAAGCTAGCGAAGAAATGGTGCAGAATTTAGAAAAAAAAATCTGAAGCATTCAAGTCAAGGGGATATAAAAAAGTATCACAATTTATTGTTCCATTGAAGTCTAAAATTGTTCTAAAATCAAGATTTGAGAGTTCACCTTTCTAAAAGAACTTGAACAAAAAGGCTCAGATTGTAATATTACACACAAATCTGATAAACCTCAAAGACTTGATCAACTCAGCATCGATCTGGTCAAGGCAAAATCTTCTGTCTTAGTTACTTGTAAACCAAATATTTTGATAAGTGCAAGGTTTTTCATGATTCTGTCCCTTTCAAGATAACGAAGATCGACTGCTTTCCTGGATTTTGTCTGATGGTTAGTTTATGAATTCATTCATTTAAAAAGAACAGCAAAAGGTTTATTGCCATGCATGGTCTTATTTCAGGTAAATACTGACATTCTATCTCACATGTGATGATCTGTTTACAATCATGAATGCTTTAATGCTTTCAACATACTTGCTGATAAAATCCTCTGTTTGCTATGGCTAATACTGCATAAATTGAAATCAGTAAAATTGTGATAAAGGACAGAACAACAGGGAAATTGTTGCCTCCCAAATGTGGGCAATTTGATTGTTTTAGTGGGGTACACACACAGATGACAAAGGGAAGCCTTACTTCTACAATCTCGACAGCGGCGAAACAGCATGGGAGTTGCCAGAGGTATGTCAACTGTTACCACAACAACAATTATAATTAGATAGCATGGATTAAATATAATTTGCTAATAGGTAAGATATTGTTACAAACATGGTATGATCTGACTTTTTAATAGTGATTTCAAGGCCTATACTTTCTTCTTATTTTGTTTTTATTTTACCTCTTTCACATTCATTTTCATTTTTCTTTAAATTTTAGAATGTTGATTTTATAATTTTTTTAACTTTAGACAATATTTAAGTATGTAGTTTACTAATGAAAAAGGTAGTATTTGAACTTGGAGTTAATGTAATATAGAATGGTTTAATAGATATTGATCATGCATGAAAGTGTTTGAAAAACTAATAGTTTAGTAGATGTATCTAATTCTTAAAAAACACATTAATTAGATTTTTAAAAAGTGAATACAAAGAAAGATGACTTTTAGAAAATACAAGTAATACCGACAACAAAATGACATATTGATTGTACATCTTTTTATTAATTGCTCCTTTGTTGTAATTGAAATTGATTTAAAGATGAAAATTTTAGATAGGATTTTTGAATGTGTAATGGCTGGCATGATAATATATGATACTTTTATGATCCATTACTGTGTGTAATTCTGCTGTGTGTCAAACTACTGTGTGTAATTCTGCTGTATGTAGAACTACTGTGTGCCGTGATAAAACTCCATCTGGCTTGTTTTCTGATTGGTGAATTTATCTGCTAGATCGTGTAAATTGCTTTCATCTTAATTGACCAAACATCATGATGCATGGAAAATCACTCAACATAAACTGTTCTTAAAATGATAGTATAAATATAGGACAACATAAACTGTCCTCAGGATGATGATATAAATATAGGACAACATAAACTGTAAAAATATAGGACAACATAAACAGTCCTCAGGATGATGATATAAATATAGGACAACATAAACAGTAAAAATATAGGACAACATAAACTGTCCTCAGGATGATGACATAAATATAGGACAACATAAACTGTCCTCAGGATGATGATATAAATATAGGACAACATAAACAGTAAAAATATAGGACAACATAAACTGTCCTCAGGATGATGTTATTAATTTAGTTCTACATAAACTGTCCTCAGGATGATGATATAAATATAGGACAACAACATAGGACAACACAAACTGTCCTCAGGATGATGATATAAATATAGGACAACATAAACAGTAAAAATATAGGACAACATAAACTGTCCTCAGGATGATGATATAAATATAGGACAACATAAACAGTCCTCAGGATGATGATATAAATATAGGACAACACAAACTATCCTCAGAATGATGATATAAATATAGGACAACATAAACTGTCCTCAGGATGATGATATAAATATAGGACAACATAAACTGTCCTCAGGATGATGATATAAATATAGGACAACATAAACAGTAAAAATATAGGACAACATAAACAGTCCTCAGGATGATGATATAAATATAGGACAACATAAACTGTCCTCAGGATGATGATATAAATATAGGACAACATAAACTGTCCTCAGGATGATGATATAAATATAGGACAACACAAACTATCCTCAGGATGATGATATAAATATAGGACAACATAAACAGTAAAAATATAGGACAACATAAACAGTCCTCAGGATGATGATATAAATATAGGACAACATAAACTGTCCTCAGGATGATGATATAAATATAGGACAACATAAACTGTCCTCAGGATGATGATATAAATATAGGACAACATAAACAGTAAAAATATAGGACAACATAAACTGTCCTCAGGATGATGATATAAATATAGGACAACATATACTGTCCTTAGGAAGATAATTTAGATATAGGACACAAACTGTCCTCAGGAAGATAATTTAGATATAGGACACAAACTGTCCTCAGGAAGATGATTTAGATATAGGACACAAACTGTCCTCAGGAAGATTAAGATATAGGACACAAACTTCCTCAGGAAGATATAGGACAACATAAACTGTCCTCAGGAAGATGATTTAGATATAGGACACACACTGTCCTCAGGAAGATGATTTAGATATAGGACACAAACTGTCCTCAGGAAGATAATTTAGATATAGGACACAAACTGTCCTCAGGAAGATGATTTAGATATAGGACACAAACTGTCCTCAGGAAGATAATTTAGATATAGGACACAAACTGTCCTCAGGAAGATAATTTAGATATAGGACATAAACAGTCTTCTGGATGATGATTTATATATAGGACAACATAAACAGTCTTGAGGAAGATTATATGAGTATAGGACGTCTATAGATAATACAACCTCTGGATCTACTGCTGAGAGATAGATAGGTTAAGGACACAATGAAGACACTCTTAATTGAAAAATAAGTTCAATTAATCCATTTTATTTCACTGATTTCAAGTATTTTTTCCTCCAGCCATTTGAGGTGTGCAGTTTAATGAGCAGACGGGTTGCTTTTAAACGTCATTCTGCTGAATCGGTCAGAACAAAGCACAACTCCCACCTCAGAAATTTGTTTCACAAAGTCACACTGGCAAATTGCTTTACTTTGTCAATATGTCTGATCTTTTTTAATCATTGAGATATATAAAATATACAAGATAAAGGTGTTCAGGTAAAACAAGTGGTGTTATCAGAATGGATATGAAATTATTCTGTTTTAATTTCTACGTCATCAAAATCAAAAACAGACTTTCTATCGGTTTTAAGTTTTCCAGTATTCAGCTTCAGTACCTGAATGCCATGCCAACTTTTTGAAATGAAATTTCTTGTGTTATGTATATAAAATACAGGGGGTAATATATTGCACATCATTTATGTTAACAGTTATTGTAATAATGCATTATTTTCTAAAGGAGATATATTTACCATGAGCTAATCTTCCACGTGATCCTCAACATGGATACGTATAAAACACACTGTAAATATGTCCAATGGAAACACTGATTTTCATGTCAGCCTTATATATCATGATTTTGATATTTATTGAATGAGAATAAAAAAGTTTAATAAGTGAAAGATAGTGCTAGTACCTTCATTAAATGTACATATTACACGGATTAAAAAGTTTTAGATTCAAGAAATTCCAAGTGAACATTAAATATAGATATATTCACTTATCACCAATTATTGGCTGTCTAGTTTTAGAGATTTCAGAAAGTTATCAGTAATATGTTTTCAACATACTATAATGATGAAGGATAATGAACTGATTAAATTCAGATAAAAAACAGAACTTTGGAATTAAAACAGTTTTTGTTGTGTAAAATGTTGACAACAGACTGATAACTTGTCAACTAGAACTATGTACTTTATTCAACATTATAAAACACAATGCGTCAAGGTTATTTTACTTAATTATTTTAAGGATGGAAATCCTAAGATTCCCCAGTCCCAGTATAAAATACTGCAAACAATTTTCTTCAAGATTTCTGTGCATTCCCAATTCCAGTAAAAGTATTTTGAAATTTTCTTTCTTCATAATTATTGGACATTGCTTTATATTGTTCGAAGAATTTTTTCATGAAAGTAATTTTCAATATTACTGTTCTACTATCATTTCAAGAGAGCTAATCTACTAGTCTTTCATATTTTATAACATTCTGTGTATAAAGTGTCCATTTCTTCTCGTTCTGTCTCATGTGATCTTTTATAACATATTGTGTATAAAGTGTCCATTTCTTCTCGTTCTGTCTCATGTGATCTTTTATAACATACTGTGTATAAAGTGTCCATTTCTTCTCGTTCTGTCTCATGTGATCTTTTATAACATATTGTGTATAAAGTGTCCATTTCTTCTCGTTCTGTCTCATGTGATCTTTTATAACATACTGTGTATAAAGTGTCCATTTCTTCTCGTTCTGTCTCATGTGATCTTTTATAACATACTGTGTATAAAGTGTCCATTTCTTCTCGTTCTGTCTCATGTGATCTTTTATAACATACTCAGTATAAAGTGTCCATTTCTTCTCGTTCTGTCTCATGTGATCTTTTATAACATACTGTGTATAAAGTGTCCATTTCTTCTCGTTCTGTCTCATGTGATCTTTTATAACATACTGTGTATAAAGTGTCCATTTCTTCTCGTTCTGTCTCATGTGATCTTTTATAACATACTGTGTATAAAGTGTCCATTTCTTCTCGTTCTGTCTCATGTGATCTTTTATAACATACTGTTTTATTTTTGTTTTTGTTTTTTTTTTCTGTACATTTCTGTTGTTTTCTGATATTTCCGTCATCAGTCCTCTCTGTCCCTGTTTTATTCTTTGTTTTAGTATTTCATGCATAGTTTTGCACATCTGTTAACCTCAGAAGATTTTTCTTGAAGAAATAATTTGTACATGTTTTTGTATATTGTGATTAACTTACCTCATCAGAAATATGAACTTGTAGGATATTGATAAAATATAGAACTAATGTTTTTGTGATGCACCTTGAATGAAATTCTTATCGGAATCAAATTTTTACACCGTTGGTTTTACATAAGAGAACAGACTCATCACCAGATTCAGTTGTTCCTGTGTGAACTTGGAAGTATGTCTGTATCTCCTTCTCTTTGCTTGTGACACAAAAAGGAAACAAGAGGTTAAAATGAAGATATATACTCTGAGTTGCCACAGAAAGAATCTGAAAGAGATCTTTACAATAATGAAAAATAGATTAATTTTGAGTGTATATTCATAAAGTGTTCCAAATATGTTGAAACCTGTTGAAATTTCATGTTATATGTCCAGCTGAAATTCCAATTCATTTGAAGGTTTCGTTGTTAACCCTGAATGGAGACCCTGCCAGTTCTTCGAAGAACATTCCACGCACCAGATCTCCACAAATTCCGCGATCAGTTAAGACACAGTCTATGTTCTTGGAATCACACCTGAACTTTGGGAGCTTTCAAGGCCAGCTCCCAGGGGGTCTGATGTCCAAGTCTTCCACGCTTCCTGTGAACCCCACATCGGGACCATTACCCGAGGGTGGGGTACTCCCTAAGTCTCAAACCCTGCCTTATAACCTCCAGGGATTAACGCCTGGTACCCTTGTGAGTTGAGTCATGCATGCTTTGTAATCAATACCATGTAAAATGGATTATTTCTGATTAAGGGTCGATTATTAGGTCACCTGAGACAAATTCTCTGAGTGAGCAGTTACGATCGTCTTTTATCCGGCGTCTGTGCGTTGTGTGTCTGAAAACATTTAGCATTTCAACTTTTTTGAAAAACCTATGAAACGATTTCAATGAAATTTTGCAGAAACCTCCCCTGGTGAAAGGTGAACCAAAATTAGAAATTATGCAGTCCCCACCTACAGAGGCCTGAGGGACAAGGCCAAAAGTGGTAAAATTGACTCAGATTTCAAAAATATTCTCAACTCCCATCAGATGAAAGAATCAAATACATTTCTTGGATAGAAGGGTTTTAAGATGCTTAACCAAAATTTTGAATTTCATAACCCCAGGATCTCGTATTTCTCCCAGGGGAGAGGGTTAAAGTTTACCAAAGTTTTTAAAGGAAAATTAAACTTTTGAGAATAAAGTTGTTTATTTTTTCATTGGTATCATTAGGAGAGGATGACAGTATTGATGGTGTGCATAATATTGACATTGGCTGAACCCTACAGGTTTAAAACATATCACTTAAGTCTTACCTTCTTACTTATCTCAGGTGACTGTCAAGACTGCAAGGCCGCTTGGTTTTTATTTGGAATGGATTATTTTCAATTTAGGTTGCATTTTAGATTGTTGTTATTTAGCAAAGTCGCTGTTACATGGCCAACATTAGAAAATGTCTATCTATGGATATATTTGTTTTTAAATATTATTTGTGTGTGATAGAAAACCTCCAACTGTGTTGTTTAGTGTAATATATCTTGTATAGAACACAAGTAATTAAAGTAGGTCAGAAGATATTCATATGTACATATTCCATCTTTTTGTAAACAACACATATACATCCAGTGTAAGGTATGTCTGTCGGCTTTTATTTTGTTTCCAAATGTACCGTCATTGATTCTCAAAACCATTCACAATTGACATAACATTGTCTGATAGAAGTTAACTCACAAGTCTTGCTGAAGACGTTAATGAAAAAAATCATAAAAAAAATTGTTCTTATATCACAACTAGTATTTGAAAATTTATCGATGATGTTTTGATGACTACACTGTCATGAACTCGTTCATCTGGTGACTGGAATTTTATTATGGTGATTGAGAAAGAAATTGCTTTTTCGGTGACATTTGAAATTTTGATTATGCCCTTACTTTCATTTCAACAAAGCTTATTGCAAAAATGTAAAAATGTGTTTAAGATATCCTATGAACTCTTCGGCAAATTTAGTTCATGTGCACATCATGAGATCACCATCAGATCAAATCACACCATCCCATCACACCATCAGATCACACCATCAGATCACACCATCATATAACACCATCAGATCACACCATCAAATCACGCCATCAAACCACACCATCACATCACACCATCACATCACACCATCAGATCACATCATCAGATCACAACATCAAATCACACCATCAGATCACACCATCAGATCACACCATCAAATTACACCATCAAATCACACCTTCCATTTCTATACATTGTGCCTGATTTTGGTGGAAATTAGTCCAGAATACCTGAAAGGTCAAAGGCCACACTTGACAATTTTGAAATTTAAAGATTGTGTACCATATCATTATACACCCCTGTTTAGATCTAGTTTATATTCACACCGAAATACAAACTTATCAACTTCTTAACCAAATTAGTGTGTGGTGGGCATAAGTCATGATTAGATATCAAAGGTCACCCTTAATCACTTTTAAGCTTTTCAGTGTATGATTTACTTAGAAATTGAAAAGAAAGTCCAGGGAGTGAGAGGGAGGGGGATGTTATGGGGCAGGGAGGGAGATGTTATTGGACAGGGAGGGGATTTGTAATTTCTACATCCTGATAATGTCAAGTGAAGTTCATAATGGTAATTTACAAATATGTCATACTGGAAGTTCATAGTTTACATGTGTGGGTATGTATGTGTGTATGTGTGTGTGTTTATGTAATATTAGTGAAAAATCTAGAATACAAAACTCCTTTTAAGTTTAGGTGTAAATCTAAATTATGTTTAATGTATATCTAATTACTATGTGCACAGTCCATAGTTATAATTTGTAATAATATAAATACCCAGCATGATTAAATCAGTAGTTTTACTAATTGAATGAAAAGAAAACTTGAACCATTGTTTAAACATATTTTGAATATATGCGTTCTACTTAGTTTAGGTTTATGGCGGAATATGTGAGAATGTGAGATATTCTGAGGAAAACTATACAGGTTTTCACAGAAAGTACTTCAAGCCTTCAGATAATAATTTCCTCATTACAAAGGAATCAGTACTTGACTATTTCATTCTTTAGATATGAACCTTATCTATATATAAACATACAGTAAATACATTTACAACATGGTATAGTATATACACAAGACTAGAGAGATGGAGGCACACATATACAAAATAATAACCACAGGGATGATGGGACACACTTAAATATATGTACAAATTATTGACCAGATGAGTGTAGGGACACACTGTACACAAGTTATTATGAGAGGAATAGATGAACATATTCTAATATACACAAGTTGTTGTAAACAGGGACAGAGGGACTAATAGTTATACAAGTTATTGACCAGAGGGACCAATAGTTATATACAAGTTATTGACCAGAAGGACCAATAGTTATCTACAAGTTATTGACCAGAGGGACCAATAGTTATATACAAGTTATTGACCAGAAGGACCAATAGTTATAAACAAGTTATTGACCAGAAGGACCAATAGTTATATACAAGTTATTGACCAGAAGGACCAATAGTTATATACAAGTTATTGACCAGAGGTACCAATAGTTATATACAAGTTATTGACCAGAGTTATCAATAGTTATAAACAAGTTATTGACCAGAAGGACCAATAGTTATCTACAAGTTATTGACCAGAGGGACCAATAATTATATACAAGTTATTGACCAGAAGGACCAATAGTTATATACAAGTTATTGACCAGAAGGACCAATAGTTATAAACAAGTTATTGACCAGAGGGACCAATAGTTGTAAACAAGTTATTGACCAGAAGGACCAATAGTTATCTACAAGTTATTGACCAGAGGGACCAATAGTTATATACAAGTTATTGACCAGAAGGATAGTTATATACAAGTTATTGACCAGAGGGACCAATAGTTATATACAAGTTATTGACCAGAGGGACAGAATGACCAATAGTTATATACAAGTTATTGACCAGAGGGACAGAGTGACCAATAGTTATATACAAGTTATTGACCAGAGGGACCAATAGTTATATACAAGTTATTGACCAGAGGGACCAATAGTTATAAACAAGTTATTGACCAGAAGGACCAATAGTTATCTACAAGTTATTGACCAGAAGGACCAATAGTTATATACAAGTTATTGACCAGAGGGACCAATAGTTATAAACAAGTTATTGACCAGAGGGACCAATAGTTATAAACAAGTTATTGACCAGAAGGACCAATAGTTATAAACAAGTTATTGACCAGAAGGACCAATAGTTATAAACAAGTTATTGACCAGAAGGACCAATAGTTATATACAAGTTATTGACCAGAAGGACCAATAGTTATATACAAGTTATTGACCAGAAGGACCAATAGTTATATACAAGTTATTGACCAGAGGGACAGAGTGACCAATAGTTATATACAAGTTATTGACCAGAGGGACAGAGTGACCAATAGAAAAAGACAAGTTATTGACCAGAAGGACAGAGTGACCAATAGAAAAAGACAAGTTATTGACCAGAGGGACAGAGTGACCAATAGAAATAGACAAGTTATTGACCAGAGGGACCAATAGTTATATACAAGTTATTGACCACAGGGACCAATAGTTATATACAAGTTATTGACCAGAGGTGTTGAGTGACACACTGTTAAGTTCTAATTACTATACCCCTGCAGTGAAGTGATAGGGGTGTGATTAATACTGTAATTACCTTCTTCATCTGTTTGTAGAAGCAATAATGTTTCAGCTTTGCCTAAACTACTGAAATGATTTCAACTAAATTTGATGGCAATAATCCTTACACATCAAAGATGTGTGCAATTTATATCAGATTTAGTTAATTCTCCTTTTCACAAATTTTTTCTTTTTTTTGTAATAATTTTGACATTTTGTAAGAACTGTTTTCTTTGATAGTTTCTTACACCGCTATATTGGCCAATCATAAAGGGCATTGCAAAATGACATCAATTTTATTTATGTAAGTGGGTGATAACATAAAGAAATCAGCCAATGAAAATGCTTGTCTTTTATTAGATTGAATTATATTTATATAAACAGATCAACTGTCCAAATGATTATCTACATATTTCCTTCATACTTGTGTGTTGACATCTACATATTGGTTGTCCTTTGGGTTTTTATGACCAGTGTTAAAGCTTTTTGTTGGCCTGTCTATCACTGGATATTTGTACATGTTTAGATTTGGAAACGATATCCTATTTAAAAAGAATGTACATCCCCTGTCACCATTTTATTATTCTACAAATAACTGTTTACAGCTGGGTATGGGTTTAAAATGCCCCTCCACCCCCAGACAATAGTTTTAGTTTTAATGTGAAATGAAAAGCTGTTTAGGTTAGACTTAATTTGATTAAGTTAAGTTGAATAAGCACATAACTATTTTAGTTGTAAACAAATTAAGGTAATTCAGTTACACAAGTTTTTTTTCTGTTTTTAAAATGATTATGAATTATAAGGTAATCAAGTTTCTGATTACGAAGATTTTCAGTGAAAATATATGTTCACATGATTCAACATTTTAGGTTGATTTATATTCAATACACATGCACATTTTGTATTTTACGCTTGGCATTAATCTCTAGCTTTCACTTAGAAACGCTGCTTATGGTTGTCATGTAACTTTCCAGTGCTTTGCTTTTGTCCGTTTTCATCAAAACAATAATCTGTTTTGAAATAAATTTGATGTCGGATTAATTGGATAGCCAATGATATACAACATTTTGTAGAAAAAGTAGTCACCACAATCAGATGTGGGCTCTTTATAGCACATTTTATAGTGTTTCAGTAGATTGTTGTGAGAATAGATCTCAAATGGTTGACAAGACGCTTTCATTGAAAAAAGATTAAAAACCATTTTTTTTTGTTTGAGTAAAATTTATTGTCTTTGATACCTTAAAATAAAACACATTTAATTCATGACTCAAATTTTTGGAAGACACAAGCTTGTGTTTTTTTTTATAAGTAAGAATACCGAACATTTTTATAATTATTTTATATCATATAACCTCTTTATTGTATTATTTTAATATTTCATGAGTGTATAAACACATATTTGATGGTCATTTTTATACAAGATATTTCCTTCATTTTATCAGGAAATGGACAGGAAAGCTGTCCACCCTGGGACATCTAATCAAGGGGTAAGACACAAAGCTGATTAGGATAATCAAAACCATGTCAAAAAAAAATTTATGTGACAAAATATTCTCTGATGTCTGCTGAAAAATTTTAGGTCCTGAACTTTACCGTTTTTATTCACAAGATTATTTAAAGAATCATGACATCTCAAATGTAGGAGTTATGAATTAAAAAGATTATCCTACTCTGATGTATTACTTTCAATTCTAATAGCACATTGAAGTTTTGTTTAAGATGTGAACATGAATGGCTACTTTCCCGAGTAATAGATGTTAATATAGATTTGGTAAAAATGTATAAAAAAATCAGGGTTATGATTAAATGTTTTCGGATATCTAATGAAGTTATAAAAATGTTGTAAAAAGAGTTGGAAATCTTTTAATATAATCTGCTTGTTTACAACAGTTTGTTCCAGTGATTTGTAATACTTTGTCAATCAGAAATGTCGATGATAAATGATACAGGTTGTATAAAAGACATGTATATATCATGGCTTAATAGAGGCTTTCTTGTCTATTTTAATTCTTATCTTTGATTTTTATTGGTTATTATCTCCCTTAGATATATATCTTGTATTTGAATGAGATATGAATTATCTTATACAGCAAGAAAAGATATGTGGAATGCTGAAGAAGAGGATGATTGTTGAGTTAGGAAAACAGGTCAAGTAAGTGACTTTATATATATATGAACTTTATTTATTTTACAACAATTATGTAACAAGTTAGCAGCGTATATTAATCATTCTAGTTGGCTTGTATCGGAGTGCAGGAGTCTCTCATTGTGGAGGGAAACCGAAGAACCCAGGGAACACCCATGTGGTCGGGCAGGTGACCCAAACACCCTTTCACGTCCATTCCTGGAATTGAATCTCAGGCAGTTAGGTGAAAAACAAGTGCATTACCACTGCACCACCCAACCACCCATAAGTGATTTTGACTTTCATTACCTGACATCAGCTGTTTTTGTTGACCTCTCTTGTTCATTACAGTTTGTAATCAAGACTCATGTGTCCTGTTGTTACTGAAAAATACAACATGATTGCTGTTACCTTTAGTCACTTGTCAGATTACAAGATTCAATATTTCATTAATTTTATTATTATTATTGTTAAGTTTTTATTCATCCCAAAGGAGATCATATAGTTGCCACTTTGTCCGTCTGTCATAATTTGTCAGAAGCATAACAAATAAACTGTAAGAGGTATCATCATATAACTTTATAGATAGATCTTTCACAGCAAGGAGAAGTACAGTGCGCAAAAAAAAACATTACTCTCTTTTGCACAATTAAGGAGTTATTGCCCTTTGTTATATTTCATACTTAAATTTGTGTGGAGCATTACAATAAACCTATGTGAGGTATCAGAAGAAAACTCCATATGTAGATAAATCTTAACAAAGAAATGCAGTGCACAAGAACCATCACTCTCTTTTGTATAATATAGGAGTTTTTGCCCTTTGTTATTTTTCATACTTAAATTTTGTCGTAATTGTGGACATAACATGTCTCTGACAGCCCTTGATTCTGTTGTGTAATTAATATAAACTTGATTAATTTACAGGAAAACATTTCCAGGCTTTGGTCTGAATGACTGAGTGTGATCTAACAGCCATATCTATGCTAAGAAGCCTGATTGTAATTTTCAATTGAATATTAATCCCTAGGTTTATGCAGGTGCACATGTGAAAGTTAGAATTTATACAGAATTTGGCAACCAAAGCCAGGAAATACACCGTTATCTGTTAACCATAAATCTTCTGTGTTTGTTAACTTTCTTTATGTGCATTGCTGCCGGAAACAAAAAAGAAAGAAAAAAAAAACAGCAATAACTGCCATGCCGAAGAGATCAATGAAAATACTAGGTTGTCATTGACACATTTGTTGATGATTTTAAATACATTTACTGGATATACATGTACACATACAAAGTGCAAGTTTATTCTATTTTATGGTATACGCCATTACAGTGCTGTATGGGTAAAGTTATGCTTCAGTGATGTTGCTGTGTCCTTCACCTTTTCATAATCCAGCTCAGTGCTACAGATGTTATATCAGTATAGAATGTTCATGAGTATGTATTTGTTTTAAACTATTGTTGACGGGACTTGTATTACTTCAGGTAACCATTTCCCAAAGTTATGTGTATGAGAGTGGGTGTGCAGCTATGCTTGTGCTGTAGGTAAGTATTTCCCAAAGTTATGTGTATGAGAGTGGGTGTGCAGCTATGCTTGTGCTGTAGGTAAGTATTTCCCAAAGTTATATGTTTGAGAGTGGGTGCACAGCCTTGCTTGTGCTGTAGGTAAGTATTTCCCAAAGTTATGTGTATGAGAGTGGGTGCACAGCCATGTTTGTGCTGTAGGTAAGTATTTCCCAAAGTTATGTGTATGAGAGTGGGTGCACAGCCATGTTTGTGCTGTAAGTTATGTGTATGAGAGTGGGTGCACAGCCATCCCTGTGCTGTAGGTAAGTATTTCCCAAAGTTATGTGTATGAGAGTGGGTGTGCAGCCATCCCTGTGCTGTAGGTAATTATTTCCCAAAGTTATGTGTATGAGAGTGGGTGCGCAGCCATGTTTGTGCTGTAGGTAATTATTTCCCAAAGTTATGTGTATGAGAGTGGGTGCACAGCCATGTTTGTGCTGTAGGTAAGTATTTCCCAAAGTTATGTGTATGAGAGTGGGTGTACAGCCATGCTTGTGCTGTAAGTTATGTGTATGAGAGTGGGTGTGCAGCTATGCTTGTGCTGTAGGTAAGTATTTCCCAAAGTTATGTGTATGAGAGTGGGTGTGCAGCCATGTTTGTGCTGTAAGTTATGTGTATGAGAGTGGGTGCGCAGCCATGTTTGTGCTGTAGGTAAGTATTTCCCAAAGTTATGTGTATGAGAGTGGGTGCACAGCCATGCTTGTGCTGTAAGTTATGTGTATGAGAGTGGGTGTGCAGCTATGCTTGTGCTGTAGGTAAGTGTTTCCCAAAGTTATGTGTATGAGAGTGGGTGTGCAGCCATGTTTGTGCTGTAAGTTATGTGTATGAGAGTGGGTGCACAGCCATCCCTGTGCTGTAGGTAAGTATTTCCCAAAGTTATGTGTATGAGAGTGGGTGTGCAGCCATCCCTGTGCTGTAGGTAATTATTTCCCAAAGTTATGTGTATGAGAGTGGGTGCGCAGCCATGTTTGTGCTGTAGGTAATTATTTCCCAAAGTTATGTGTATGAGAGTGGGTGCACAGCCATGTTTGTGCTGTAGGTAAGTATTTCCCAAAGTTATGTGTATGAGAGTGGGTGCACAGCCATGCTTGTGCTGTAAGTTATGTGTATGAGAGTGGGTGTGCAGCTATGCTTGTGCTGTAGGTAAGTATTTCCCAAAGTTATGTGTATGAGAGTGGGTGCGCAGCCATGTTTGTGCTGCAATTCAATGATGAGTGTTTCACATTTCTTTGTTGTATATTCCTACCTATAACTGTTTATCTAGATAAAAAATGTCGTAAGAGTATAAAATTACAAAATATTTTTGTTTATTTTTACTTATTCATTACTGTCACGTTGTGCTACGAGACACGTATCTGGTAAACAGCGGATGAAAATAGGGTCAATCTTCAATGCAAAATGTCTCCATTCATAGAAACATGGCTTAGTCGAACCATCGGATAAGTCAAACATATCATTTGGTCCCTTTGACATCGACTTATCCATGTTTTACTGAACTTTGTTGTGTAAGAAACTGATTTTTGTACTTTAGGAAAAGCTTCAGTCCTTCATTTGTGAAACTTTTGGGAACTAACCTGGTATTTTACAAGAACCGTCAGGCATCCACACAGCAGGGTTCTAAGCATGGCAAGCCTGATTTTATGGAACCTTTACAGGGGGCCCATGTTGACAAGTACCCCAACAAACGACACCTCCATGTCTTAGTGGTGAGTTATAAGGATGCTGATCGTTTTCTTACCGCGCCTAACTACTGTGCACGATGTACTACATCCAGTGTTAAATTTGCTTCAGAATTAACAAAACAAAAAAAAAAACCAGCTATAAATAAAAACGAAAAACAGAGTTTGGAGAAGATAGTAAGATATAATAAATGGAATTAAAATATAAACTTTATTTGTTTTAGAAGAATTGCAAAACACGGTTTATAATAATCACTCTTGTTGGCCCATGTAGAAGTGCAAGATGAGTCTTATTGTGGGAGGAAATCGGAGTACCTAGGGAAAACCAATGCGGTCGGGCTGGATTGGAGAAAATGGAAAATAAAAGATAGATCTATATTTTTAAGATTTTTTAATATACCATGAAAGCCAGCCCATGTTTTGTTATAATAACATGTGTATATTGATTTATCGTGATACAGCATTGACATATTTTGATTGGTTTACAGCTGACAACGTGTAACAAGAATCAATACCAGCTACAGTTGGAAGACGAGATTGACATGCAGAAATGGTTGTCTATTTTGGAACTCACTATCAAAGAATTGGTGAGATCATAGCCCCAGACCCATTCCACTTTCACATGTTAAAAGTTTTTCATATGTTCCTGTCATATTATCGGGGCAGATTTTTGTCATCACACTAGCAATTTCATGTCTTCATGGATTTTTATCTTTCATGATATCTAGATGAGTGCCATTGTCTAGGTTACTTTTATTCTTTGTAAAAATTGAAATGCATTAGAGATAGATCATTCATACTTTACAGGGTCTCTAGTTTCATGCATGATCAAAATATAAGGACACAGCTTTCTTTTGGGGATTTGGAAAGCAAGGGGGGGGGGGGGGGGGGGGCTTTGGGGAGTTCTTTTAAAATAATCAAGTTCACACAGGCTGGTATCACAGAAAAGTCCAGAGTGAACGCAGTGTTAGAAAATTCCTTTTAGCATTTTTATTTGAATCAGCATTAATTATAAAATGATTAATCCATCAAATATCTGGCTGCATATAGGTATAAATATAGGAGAAATATTTTGTGGTCAGAATTCACTCGTCATTGTCACTTTAACCTGTTCTGTTTAGATATTTTCTCAGCATTGTTCTTAACTTTATTAACAGTTCTCACCATTAAAATCTATTGGTAGGAAGTCAGGTACAGTTGTGTGAAAACAAAATTTATCTATTGATGTTGTTACAGGGTCCATGTAAGGTTGACCAGCAGCTACTGCTTGTGCCCCCTGGTAATGCAGACAGTCTGAAGAAAACACCATCGATGAAGAAAAGTATGCAATGTAATTACTTTATGTTTTGATAGACGTTTAACTCACTTTGTGAGTCACGCGGTTGTCGCGCAGATCACTCACTCTGACAACACATCGTTCACTCTACTATCTCAGGAAGTCGGTTCACAGATCATTTAGTCAACTCACTGATAACTCATTTTCATTACAGATCATTCTGTCACATCACAGATCACTCTTGTCACATCACAGATCACTCTGTCACTCACAGATCACTCTGTCACATCACAGATCACTCTGTCGCATCAAACACCTACATCACAGATCACTCTGTCACATCACAGATCACTCTTGTCACATCACAGGTCACTGTCACATCACAGATCACACTGTCACATCACAGGTCACTGTCACATCACAGATCACACTGTCACATCACAGATCACTGTCACATCACAGATCACTGTCACATCACAGGTCACTGTCACATCACAGATCACACTGTCACATCACAGGTCACTGTCACATCACAGATCACTGTCACATCACAGGTCACTGTCACATCACAGATCACACTGTCACATCACTGTCACATCACAGATCACACTGTCACATCACAGATCACTCTCTCACATCACAGATCACTGTGTTACATTACAGATCGCTCTCTCACATCACAGATACCACACAGCCTGTTAACTAATATATTATCAATTAGCTTCCTCTGAACATGTATTTGATCTGAACCAATAATTGATTATTGATTTTAACTGGTTTCCCATCACTAATCAGCAAAATCACATTAAAACAAGTTACAATGGAATTAGTGTAAGTGATAATTTAGACTGACCTGATGCCATGTATTTGTATCTGGTCAGATCGTAAGCCATCAGAGAGAGAGGAGAACGATGAGGAGAAGTCCAAATTCAAAACAATATTTGAGAGGTGGATGAAAGACCCACAGAGACCTACAAAGAAACAGCTGGAAGACAAGGGCATAATAGATTGTAAGTTGTTACCTAAAACGAAAACCAAACCAAAAACTTTTATGTTTTAAAGAGTATGTGATGGAGAATTTTCCAGTTTCTGAAGTTGGTTGGTCTCTAGTTTTGGGACTGTTTGGAAAATAGATATGGTAGACAGGCAGCCATCTTTGTTTTTTGTGTCAGTTTTGTGAGAATATTGTCCTTATTTATTTTAGATAACGTGTTTGGTGGTTCTCTGAAGCAGGTGTGTGAAAAGGACAAAGCTAAGGTTCCTAAATTTGTACAGAGATGTGTTGCTGCCATAGAAAAACGAGGTATGCCCAGGAATACCCCCTCTAAAAACACGATTAAGACATATTTCAGATGATAAATGGAGCTGTTTTATTATGACAATAAATGTAATGAGAAATGATCTTAAGATGGATTATTCATTGTACCAAATAAATGTCATTTTAAAGATGATCATTTTATTAAATCTATTATTTTAGATTTGAAAGTAAATTGATAACATTTTAAGCTTTACGATTCAATGGCCAAATGATGTATTTTGAAATTTTTTGAAGTGAGGAATATTTTGACTATTTGAAATTCATGATGGAGTATAAAGTATTGAAGTGGAACTTGTTTGTATCTGTAGGTCTGGACCAGGATGGATTATACCGGATCAGTGGAAACATGGCTCAGATCACTAAGTTACGCTCAATGTTAAACATGGGTAAGCTTAGAACACAATACGTGGACAGTTTCATTTTAGCATGTTGCATGTTATAACACATGGGTGGACAAAAATAGTTCAAATGGGTAGAGTCTTTTATCTTTTCTCACAAGGAGGATGTTCATGTCCTCTGTATTTAAATATAATTTGCCAGGGAGAGGTTTGCTTCATTTTATGGTACCAAGGTCGGCTTTATTTTTCCTTATACATTCTAGAAGAAGATTCACACCACTTACTTCAAAAGAACTTGATCCCGTCAGATTTGGTGAAAATGGAAGTGATACTTAATCGCTTTAGGTATTATCCTTAGAATTTTACCAGCAGTTAGCCCTGAGGGCTCATATTATTTGTATTGCAAGGTGTGTGAATAGGCTTATAACAGGATAAAGAAACACATATATTTGCACTTAGGTAGATATAGGCTTATTACCAGACATGAACTTATTGATGAATCTTTTCCTGGCTTATTTCCTCTATTAAGAAACTAGTGTTCCATTTGTTTGTTGTTTGGGTTATTCTTGTTTAATCCAAGTAAGTAATGTCATGTTCTCAAGTGAGAGCAAGGTATACAACAACCAAACCACTAGGCAAGCTAACGAACACGGACTGCTAGGAGTAATGAGCAATGCTCCTTGTTCTTTAAAGTGTTATGCTAAAAGTTTCTTGACCTTAAATGTTTATTGGTTTTACAAACCTTAAAAAACATTAATTTTTCTAGATAAGTTTACCATGCAATTCTAAATTGATCAAGAGCAAATGTCAAATTATAGTTTCTTTTTAATACTGGTATCTGTTACCAGTTATCAAAAGCCTTGGTCGTAAAAAATTTGAAAAAAATAAAACACAAATTCTGTAATAAACCCAGGGTTATTGACTCAGAATCAGGGGATGGGCTTATTACAGGACATTTTGTCAATGTTTCTCTTGAAATTTGGATTGGTTATTTACCAAGCATGGTCTTATCACTGGGACTTAGTTAGAGGATGCATGTTACTGGCTGACTTTCTGCCTTGGTATGGAGATTCTTTAACAGTCTGCCATACGGTATGAAGGTGTTATGGTTTGATGAATTTTGGAATCATACTATTAACTCATTTTCTTTCGCAGCTACTGGTTTTCAAAATTTAACAATAACAATACATCCCTATCTATTAAATTTCACAGACTATTTTTACATTGTACTGAAATTTGCTGTGTATCATCATTCCTTTCTTAATTTGTGATGATAAAAACTTTTTACAGGTTTTATTCGATTGTGAATTTTTGCAAAAATAAATCACATGCGAAAGAAATGAGTTTTACTAACAGTACTCTGGAATGTAATATGCCATTGTTTGAAGTCAGATGTAATTTTGCAGATCTGTCAGCATTGATGGACGAGTCATCTGGTTAGTACCTTTAACTAAGTATAGCTGTAACCTTCTTTATTGCTATACAAACAGTATAGATGTTTTACTGCTGTGTGGTTGTGTACACTTTAGACATTAAATTCTCTTTCTATGCACTTCTATATAATCAACCTCTATTTTTATCACTCTAGTATATATCAGTACTTAATATTTTAATCTTTAAATTCTTGTACACTGTTTATTCATTATGTACGACCAGGAGATAGATTTGCAGCATTAAGTAGTGTGTTGCTGGGTGATTTCATGTCTTTAATGTCTCCAAGACTTTCCTCTCTTGAAGTGGGAATTTCATACACTGAGTAAAGTAGGTTTCATTGTATAAATTAAGTCAATACGTCACCTTTATATACCTACAGAAAATTCTGTTTGGTTTGCTAGCCTCTGTATTTGTGGTGTGAACATAATATTTGATAACATGTGTAACTCTAATATTAGAATTATTAGGATGATGGAATTGTCAGTAGGCATGAAAAAAACTGCTTCTGTGTTAATATTACATTGTGATATTGTCTTATAAAATCCAAACCCAAATCCATGTGTACCTCAAGTCACTTTATTTATACAAAAATCAAGTACTACAATTCCTTGAATATTGTTCATTTTTAAGGATTCCACAGATAGGATTAAGATCCAGTTACTATCTATATATCTAACCTCTTAGGCAATTCTGATGTTTGAAGATTTCTAGATAATCTAGATTTGATTGGGAGGGTTTGAGGTCAAAGTCTTAAGTCTTTGACATAACATATACAATGTAATCTGAAGAAAAGGGTTGAAACACTAATTCTACCAAATCATTATTCACAATATCAAATTTATGTGACAGTAGTTGATCGAACATTCCACAAAAATTTTACTGCGTTGATGAAGTAAAAATCTCTGTAGATTTGAATTAATTTGGTAGAGGTCAAAAGTTCAGATTTAACGGTTTTATAAAATACATGTATTCTGTATATATTATGTATACTATATTCTTGTAATCTCTTTTATTACTAAGGTGTAGTAATTTCATGCTTCCGTATCGTTATAAGATTTATCCTACGCAGCACCCTGGACTTGTATTCTGATTATCCTGTAGTAGTTCAATGCTTCAGTCTATATACTCAGCTATAGAAGTACATCTCACTAGTCAAGTTTATCATCTTTGATGAGTTTTTAGTCACCGATAATAGTTTTTCTGTTTACCTATTCCAGAGATATTTTATTAAGTTTGTACATGATATATGAGTATTTTCTAAAATAACATTCTTCAAATTAACAAAGTCACTTAATTGTATTAGATTATTACTTTATCACACAACTTATTAAATGATTAATACAATAAAGTTATATTTTAATTATATACATTTATTACATCTTGGTTTGACTCTCATATCTACAAAAAGCAGTTTTGTAAGTGTTTGGTTAAGGTACAAATGCCTTCATCTGAATGATGAAAATATTACCAATGTAAGTAAATTTTTTGTTTAATATATACATTCCTTGGGTATAACAGAATATCTATATTTTTTTACAATTAAAAGATCTAGAAGTGTTCTGTTATGTGAGTAAAACATATATAACCACAAAACAATACATTTTTAAAATTTCACTTGTAAAGGAAAAGCAAATAGTAAAAAGGCAAATTCAAACATAACTAAACCAGTGTCCAACAGAGAAATATTTGGGTGCTCTTTAATGTCCGACAGTTTAAGAGTATGCTTAACAGCAAGATGTCACCATTTATTTTGAATAGACTATTTGAATATGCAACAATTGTGAAACAAACTTTCAGCCTATATTAATCACTCTTGTTGTCTGGATGGAAGTGTGCAGGGGGTCTTAGTATTGGAGGAAACCAAAGTACCATGGGAAAACCCTTGTGGTTGTCAGTTGACCCCATATCTTTTTACGTTTGTTTCGGGAATTGAACCCAGGACGACTAGGTGAAAGGCGAGTGTGTTACCACCCAATAGACTATTTCATTTAGAAGTCTACCATTTTGTATGCTATTTTTTTGATAAATTGAACTTTTTTATACCAAATTAGAGAAAACATGAGATATGCACAGGAAAGATTTGATGGAAAACAAACTTATTTAACCTAGGCTTCCTTTGTGTAAGAACAATGCCATAACTAAAAAGCACCTCCCTGATTGGTCAAAACTACAAAAGTTATGTTATATCTGCAAATGTTATAGATAAATCTCTATACTTTATGGGGAAAAATATCATATTTATAATCAGATGAAGGCATTTGTGGTTTGGATTTAAGATAAGAGACTGACATAACCTTCATTGTTACACAGGTCAGGCCTGGTTGCAAAAGCCTTTTAGTTTGGTATGGAAATTAGGGTATTGTGCAACTTTACATCTAAATTTCTATATCAACTTTTTTGACTGTTAAAACAACTCTTTGTGAAACAAATCAAATTACTTGGAAAAAAAATGGAAGGTCCTTACTTTGGGAGAAAACCAGAGAACCAGGGAAAAAAGGTGGTCAGGCCATTCTATGAAGACAATAAGATTGCTATTTACACGTACCAAGTTTTGTCTGAAGAGTGATTGCTGTTAACATGTACCAAGTTTTGTCTAAAGAGTGATTGCTATTTACATGTACCAAGTTTTGTCTAAAGAGTGATTGCTATTTACATGTAGCAAGTTTTGTCTAAAGAGTGATTGCTATTTACATGTACCAAGTTTTGTCTAAAGAGTGATTGCTATTTACATGTACCAAGTTTTGTCTAAAGAGTGATTGCTATTTACATGTACCAAGTTTTGTCTAAAGAGTGATTGCTATTTACATGTACCAAGTTTTGTCTAAAGAGTGATTGCTATTTACATGTACCAAGTTTTGTCTAAAGAGTGATTGCTATTTACATGTACCAAGTTTTGTCTAAAGAGTGATTGCTATTTACATGTACCAAGTTTTGTCTAAAGAGTGATTGCTATTTACATGTACCAAGTTTTGTCTAAAGAGTGATTGCTATTTACATGTACCAAGTTTTGTCTAAAGAATGATTGCTGTTAACATGTACCAAGTTTTGTCTAAAGAGTGATTGCTATTTACATGTACCAAGTTTTGTCTAAAGAGTGATTGCTATTTACATGTACCAAGTTTTGTCTAATGAGTGATTGTTATTGTTATGTACACGTAGCAAGTTTTGTCTAATGAGTGATTGTTATTGTTATGTACACTATTGCTGTTAATCTGGTTTTTAGACAATTACTCTGATTTCTGCTTTACAGACCGGTTTGACTATGACCTTGACAATCCAGAACTCTGGGACATTCATGTATTGGCTGGAGCACTCAAGTTGTTCTTCCGTGAGCTGAAGGAGCCCCTGTTTGTCTATGCTCAGTTTGACAAGTTTATAGCTGCCATTTGTAAGTAGAAATCTTTAAACCAACCATCTTTTTCTTATGGATTTACAATTGAAGCAAAGTCATGAAAATAAACCTTGGCAAATTAAAACATGAATGATAAAATCCCTGAATTTCATGGTTAAAATTTGTTGATTAATAATCTGCCTTATGTGTAAGGGTACCCTGAACTTACAGCTAACTTACCCATGTCACTTACATGCCCTATCGCAAACTTAACCTGTCAAGGTCAAATAGTAAATCAAAGAAGACTGTTCACATTTTTATCAGATATTCCCTCTCCCAGAACTTCCGTCAACATTTTTACTGGAGGGAAGCGAGCGTATTTGCCGTTAATTGTGGTATTGTAATATCATCGTGTCATTTCTCATTTCACAACAAATATATATCAATGTATATATAATTTCTATTAAAACAAGTGTTTTGGATTTTCAGCTAAGAAGACACGATCAGAAAAATTAAAAGGATTGAGAGAGCAGGTTAATGCCCTACCAAAGTATAACTATGAAACACTCAAGTTTCTGTGTGGCCATTTAATAAGGTAAGAAGTCATAGATATACAGTAGTCTACCTTACGAAAATGTAGATATGTATGTAATAAGGTATTTGATCAGCAAATGTTTTCTACCTGGAAGATTTAATATCAAAACTTGAGATTTAATATCAAAACATGACCAAATTTCCTTTTTCATAAAAACGAGTAAGGAATTAAGGGAATATGTTGATTTATAAATTACGTACTGTTCATAAATAATTTCCTTTCGAAACTACATATTTACAATGTCACAATGGATGATTTCAAACTTTTCAAATAAGAGGTATCAATCGTTTGGTTTTTTTCCTTTTTTTGTAAATTTAAAAAAATTTCGATTCTTCACTAATGATACTGCAGAGTAATATTCTTTGAGATATTTTACACCAAAGAACAATATCCATTTCAATGATTATACCAGATTGTAAGCGAACATGATCACTTGAGGATATAATTTACTTCAGTGATACTGAGCTTAAGAGATTTGATATTTTATCAGATTAATTGGTATAATAATCTCTAGCTAACAACTATAGTTGAGAATTGATACAGAAATAGAATTTTAAATTCTAATCTTTAAATGTTTTACTTTACAGAGTTGCAGACAAGCAAAGTGTCAATAAGATGTCATTCCATAACTTAGCAATAGTGTTTGGGCCGACGTTAATGTGGAAGGAAATGGACACCAACTTCATGGCTCATATGGTCTTACAAAGTCAGATAGTGGAGTTTGTTTTACTGGAGTATAAGCACATATTTAAGTGATAACAGATCATTGATATGTAAAATTATCTCCCTTTGGTGGAAACTTTAGTGGTGAAAATTTGTTTTTTCTGGAGTGCAATCATAGTTAGAGTGATCTCCCTTGATTAGAATCATGATAAGGAAATGACTCAATGTAGATTATCATTGGATTGTTTAAACATCATTGGCTTGAATGATTATTTCTGTATATTAAAACCCACCCTGGAACATTTTGTTTTTCTTAATTCTGGTTTCAGGATATGGAATGATTTGCTATCGTAACAAGACGCTGAGTTCTTCTCTGGTATAATTCTTACTGAAATGATTTTATCTTAAGCATAATTTTTCATTTGTTAAATAATGTTATTTTGGATTCTGAATGTCAGTGATGAGTATGATAAAGTATTGAAGTGAGAATATTTTTAATGCTTGCTATTTATAGTCTTCAGATATTTTAGATTTATATGATTTAGAAAAGGTGAAAACTTCAGTAGTGTGGTAAAGTTAAAAGTTGATGGAAGATCCTATCAGTGTGTTCAGGGAATGATATCATGTAGTATAGATATATGATTGACCTTGTCTGTATGGTGACACACACTACTGTTTACAACAGGATTCTATATTTTTAACATACAGTTCATTTGCGTTGTATCTTTCGTAGTTAACCAAATTGTTTCTTTTGATGTCTTGTCTACAAATGAAATTAAGGTAATTTGAATATTTTCAATCTTGTCTGCAAAACAAATTTTTAATATTTTTTTTCTATTGGAGGAGTATAAAACCTATGTTGGATTCAAACTCTCAAAACAAACATGATTTTTGGGGACCATTAAAAACAGCTGAGGTTTTAGTCTTGTTCCATAATAGTGAAAATAAATTGTGAAGCAAGTGGTGTTAACAGATACTGCATTGTTGGCCAAATGATGTTTCAGATTTTATTATTTTCTTAACAGTCAAATATATGCTCAAAACTTCATTATAAATATTATTTATAAGAAAGAGGTACAGCTCGAAAAGTTTCTCGAGAGTTGGGAATGTGACAAGATGAGTAAGTATGTTACACTCAACATTATGTATATTATTTATGTGTACATTTCAGCAGAACTTGCATTTAATATCAATCAAAATATTTCGGTGAGACTTGAGCTCACAAAGTTTTATTATCATATTAAACATTATGTGTTTAATGTATGAAACTACATCTTGAATTAACATTTCAGATCATAAATAATTTTGTTTCATTTTGGTCATGTATAGAGTTTTCAGTTTGCAGATGTTTTATTCCCTTGAAATAATCTGAACATACATCATCTGTGTTTTATCTGATGTGAAACAAGAATCATTGTACAGTGTAACTATGGAGATATAGCATGTTTCTGGTTTAACAAAACTAGGCCTTGATCTGTTCCCGAAGGCAAAGCCTACTTCAGGAAATCAGAAACTTGGTGTACCTGACAAGTCATACTCGGTGGTTTTAGGACATTGATACAAACTACCAGAGAGATGTCTTTATTGGAAAATATTTATTGAACACTAGCTATAGCTGTTGGTACAAGTAGCTATATATCCCAGTGTTAGCTATAGCTGTTGGTACAAGTAGCTATATATCCCAGTGTTAGCTATAGCTGTTGGTACAAGTAGCTATATATCCCAGTGTTAGCTATTGCTGTTGGTACAAGTAGCTATATATCCCAGTGTTAGCTATAGCTGTTGGTACAAGTAGCTATATATCCCAGTGTTAGCTATAGCTGTTGGTACAAGTAGCTATATATCCCAGTGTTAGCTATAGCTGTTGACAGTTACTAACTGATGTGGAATTTCTAACACTGCAAAATGAAAATACTATGCATTATAAAACCAGTCGCACTAGAGTACCTTGTACCTAGGTGATGTGTACACAGTGTCTCCGTTTACATCTTTATGTATGTTTATTCATGAAGACTAAAAATTTTACATTTTAATGCATCATGTATATCCCAGTTTTCAACATTTTTTGTTACATTTCATTTAGGTCATCATCATCAGTTTGTTGACCTGCTCAATCACTTTTCATCATTTCATCCTGGAATATAATTTGTGGTTATGTTCATTTAGTTTGCTACATTTTGCATAATATGATTGGATGTTCAATATGACTACCAGCCTCCATTGTCAGTTTTCACTTTTGAAATTTGTTTCTAGATTTGTTTTTTTAAAGAACTACATAGAGATTTTATATACAGTTAAAACAACATCGTTTTCTGAGCAATAGTACGCGTTCAGCCGAAGCCAGGTGTCATCAATCTCCTCATACTCAACGTGTTTGTTACCTGTTAAGAACCGTTAATTATCCAATTAGCCAAGCCTTTCATGCTTGTTAAGGAGGTACCTGTGTGAATTTGTTTACATAAGGTAATTAAGTATGTGAGGGTCACGATGATTGTGGTTTCCTAATTATCAATAGATCAAACCACAACTGTTTCATCGCGGTAACCAGTAATCAATTAATCTTTCTGTAGAAAATCTTTTTTTTTTTTTTGAATCTGACCCCAAAAAAGTACCTGCGCACTATACCTGAGTGCGCAATATACCCGCAAATTTACGGTAAAAGAAATCTATGCCCGATTTATCAAATTTGGTAATATGTTCAAGATAACCTCCAGCAGCCATCATCGGATTATCTTTTGGAGCTTGATAGAGCTGTGTTTAAGACCTGTGGACATGACTCTCTTCAAACTTTGTAGTTTAGTATTAGACTCACGTGTATGTGACCTTTATTTAGCGTGATCTGATCTTCAAGATGGCTGCAAGGAATCAATCAAAACTACAGGATTCATTTGCTATTGTAATTACTGTTAATACATCTGATAACTATGTGATTACATAAAACCAAATTGAACTCATGAAGGAGAATATCTTGTGTACCAGTATCCATCTGTCTTGTGTTATCTAAGTTTGAGGAGAATTTTATAGTCAAATAAATGCCAACAAAGCAGTTCTTTATAGATAAACAATGAACTATTTCGAAGTGTGAAATTTTAAAACACAGTGACAAGGGAGACAAATCTTGTCTAAATCTGCCTAAGTGGATTGTGAGATCAGCTGGTAGGCTTTGAAATAATCCTGTCTTATCCATATTCCATTGTACATTTTTTTCATGTTTTTCACTATCTTGGTCTTGATTTCAATATATTATGATAATTATGTTATGTTTTACTCAATTCGTATCAACAACAAATAAGATCTATCTTGTATGATGTAAACAGAGATCACTTAACCTGACACTAAGTTTCGATTCGATGTGTTGATTAATGCTGAACTTCAAAAATCTTATCCCATCTGTTGAGATGACTACATCACAAAAGAGTGATTAACTATTTTCTCATCCACACTCAATCACCATAACAATAGTAGCCATGCTGTAAAGGTGAATTTTCTGTGCCAAAATACAATTATCGATGGCACATGAAATGTAAGACAATTGATAATTGATACTAGTGCTGTAGGGGTCCTTTTTATAAATTTGTGATATGATGGTGTCATTTTTAGATTTGTTGCATGTATGAGCTGAATTCCCTGGATATTTTTTGTGTTATTAATTGTTTCCCTTGAAAAAAGGAGAATTTGTTTGATCTTCTAAAAAATCAATTAGTACATAATATAATACATTTACAGACCCAGTAAAACAAATTTGTATCCAATAAGTAATTTAATCATCATAAGTTATATACCAAATTTATTCAAGGAAAAGCTCAGGGAGCCATTATATATCCAGTCACTCAAAGTCAGGAGATGGACTTATTACATGACAATAAGTAGTGTTTGTGGGCTTATTAATGAAAATGGGTCTATTGCTGGATTTGGCTAATAACACCTTCTCTTTACTGCTTATACAGGTACTTGTCAGTCTCACATCTGTGTGAACCTGTTATACAGGTACTGGTCAGTCTCACATCTGTGTGAACCTGTTATACAGATACTGGTCAGTCTCACATCTGTGTGAAGCTGTTATACAGGTACTGGTGAACTTGTTATACAGGTACTTGTCAGTCTCACATCTGTGTGAACCTGTTATACAGGTACTGGTCAGTCTCACATCTGTGTGAACTTGTTATACAGGTACTGGTCAGTCTCACATCTGTGTGAACCTGTTATACAGATACTGGTCAGTCTCACATTTGTGTGAACCTGTTTTACAGGTACTGGTCAGTCTCACATCTGTGTGAACCTAATATCATGTTGGATATTTGGGATGACCATATATGGTAAACAACATTATCAATGGGTATGTTTAGGTCATGGATTATAGTGTTACTTTTTGTAAAAACTGCCAAAGTTATATTTATCCGTTTGTTGGGAGTGATATGTATATTATGGTTAGGGAGAAGACGAGTGTTATATTGGTAAACATTGTATGATAACATGTATGCTTATCCTTGTCTTTCATGCAACATTTATACTTTTCTGATTAGAATTTGAGATTGATTTACCAATGATAACATTCCATTATAAAAACAATGAATTATGAAACTACTTATATACAATGAAGTTTTATCTCTGGGAGCTTGTTGTAATTTCTTTATAATTGTTTTTATTACAGAATAATCTTGTTCTTTAGTCCATTTTTGACGGTTCTGATGTGGAGAAAGCATTCCATGTTTTAGTAGATAAAACCATTTATCATTTTCACTTTGATTCAACATTATACAATTAACAACGATAACTTGCCTATGATTTCAACCACTTTTGAAATATTTGTTTTCAAGATGTCTGACTTTCATGTACAGTTTGCATTTATTTGCTTGATTGTACAGGTTCTTCCCTCCAAATAACATAAATATAAGTAATTCCAAATGTGAAAATCTAAAACTTCATCTAGCTTATTATATAGATAGGAATTGAGGATATGGAAATCCTATGTAACATTTTTCTCGGGGATATTCCACACCTATAGGATAAATGGTGCTTGCTGTAATCATTTTCTGTAATATTGACAAAAATAGACTCTTTGTCACTAAATACATTACATAGTCAACCAAGACTGCTTGAAAACGGCAATAGAAAGTAAGAGATACTTCTAAAAATCCCTCATAGTAAACATATTTGATAGTGCACAGGTGATTTATTGAGACAGGACATTGTCTAATGCTTATGAAAATAACAATTCTGTATCACATTGGAATGGTTTCAGTACTGAATTAATGCATTTCCTAGACCAGATGTAGAAAATATGTTACTGTACCTGAATTGGAGGTCAAGGGTACACCTTTTAGATAGAGTTGTCTCCCATGGACTTGAGCCACAAAGGACTCTGTAGGA